CTCAGCCTGTTCTTTAAGTCAATGAAATTAAAAATCATTAACACTAGCCATCAATTCTCACAGCCCCACCCTCTCACCCTGTCCCTTCTCTTGTCTGACATCCACTGATAAGAGTCACCACTCTCCCAAACGGGGAGCCTCTCATTACTGGCTTTGCCCTTCCACATTTTTTACATGGGATTGAAGGAAAGGAAAGAAAAAAAAAATGCTTTTTTTTTTTTTTTGCAACTGAATAGTCACTTTTCATAAAATAACAAGGAATACTAAAAGGCTTTAAATTATTTACAATTTAACATTATTAGTAATAGTCATTAGTCCCATAATTGCCCCTACCCTTTTTCATTCTTTTAAAGTAAGTCTGTAAGACACGAGCATTACCACTAATGAACTATTTAGCTTAACATGAAAAAATTGGAAGAAAAATGTAAATTGTTTTCATTTTAACTTAGAAGCTGTTTATGTGCTTAGGGATTGCCTATTATTCATCCCTTCTGAGGGGATAAATCTGGCTTCTGATCACACCTTAGGTTGCTGATTCCTGGTGCAGACACAACCTGTAGCAAAGTGGAAATTGGAAGCAGAGTGACTCATGACAACTTATCTTAAAATGCCACTGTCTTTTTAGCCCTTAGCAATGCTGAAGCAGTCGAGCATCTTCTCTGTGGGACAAAGTTGTCATTTTCAGAGAGAGGTGGTCTGCAATGGTGCTATATTTGTTGATAAGATTGTGGACAAACTTTCAGAAGAAAAATTTTAACTTAGTATGCAAAGGCATTGTGGCCAATTAAACAGAAACAGCATCTATTTATATAAGTAAGTCTGAAAACATTCATAACTATTAATTTATTGACTAGGTCAATTATTTGAAAGACTGTTGAGCTTTCTGAAAATGTCTGAGTTTCTAAAATATTGCACCCAGTTTTCAACTAATTGGTAATTTATCTGCCTGTTACTTGGACATCAGTAGTAGTTGCTGCCTATAGAGTTTCCCAGAGTTTGGAAAGCTGAAATGCAATCTCTCCATCATCTGTCACCAATTCAGTAACCCTGTATAATAATGCAATTAGAAAACACAATGTATAACCATCGTATTAGCAGCTATATCATAGGAAATTATAGTATAAAATTAGGAAGTGACACATGATGTTGATATCTCTACATCTAAAAGTACAGTACACATTTCAGTGCATGGTTTAATTGTGCCCTTCATTGTAATACTTGTGGTTTCATTTATTTGCTCTATTGTGTCTGAGCCCTTCAATGAAATCTTTGTGTATCCAGTGGCTACAACAGTTCCCAGCACGTGAGAGTTCTCAATTCATGCTTGTTAAATAAATGAAATGCTAGGTGCCTTTTCCTCCTATTTTTTTCCATGAAACCTTGGGCTTACCTATATCAAGTAATCTTGCTCTATAGTCTAATAACTTGTATATCTGTTTTCTCAAGGTCAACTTTTTATGCTAGAGATTAGTTCTTGTTCACTTCTTTGTTCCCATACCTAGCATAGTATGTGGCACACAATAGGTGCTTAACAAATGCTTGTGGAATAAACAATGGGTGACATTTTATGGATCCCTTGGGTTTGGAAATGCCCTGGCCATTCATACTAAGCTCTTGTTCTTCTATGGGTTCTAAATACATCAGGTACTTCCTTAGAGAGTGTTTTGTGTGTTAGGATTATTGTTCAGTTTTGTGGGAAGGAAGATCATTCTGGTGGAAGTAGGGTTCTCACGGAACTTTCTTTGAAGGAAGTTAGAAGTTTTAGACACAAAATGTTTATGAATAAATGTACTCTACGTGTAAGCGCAATTCTGTATGCATTTTGTCTGAGGATTAGTAAAAGGTGAATAAAAAGTACTTATTGAAACAAGAGAAGAATGGGATAGTGAAAAATGGCAGTGGATTCAAGAGAGTGTGGGTCTAGTCCTAGCTCTCTCTCCAGGGTATTCCATTTCACCGAGAATGTTTCCTTAACTGGAAAATAAGTAGGGGAGCGACTACAGCCTTCATCTCTAACAGCCACGATCCCATGTCATATGTCACGCAGTCATCGTATCAGCCTCTTTTTTTTTCTTTTTCTGAATTTATACCATATTTTGTAATCCTCATTTAAAACATTTTTATCTCAACTGTGGTTATATTAAGATTCATAAGTGAAACCACATTTCAGGAAATACCTTTTCTTCCTTTTTTTTAAGGCATAGTTTCCATGTATTCTGCCCTTTCCCTCCTTCACACGCCCTTGTCTGCCTCCCTTGTGTCCCCTTTCTTCTCTTTGTTTTTCAAGGGAAATTGCATTTGGGTATTTTTGATTCATTTCCAGGTGATTACCAAAATATTATGTTGTTAGAATGACTTGATATTTAAAATGCTGAGTCTTTAAAACTAAGAAAGGAATGACTAAAGTTGATAGCTTGGTACTTTGGAAGGGATTTTATTTCCATAGCGCCCCCAACTGGAGAAGGAGGGAAGGTCAGCATTTCCGTAGCCCTGTGTTGGAAATGGGGAACCTGAGACAGACATATTGAATCAAGCCTCTTGATTAGGACCATCTCTTTTGACCCTAAGACTCAGAGATCCTGATATCTTGTTCTTTGCTTTGTCCACTTGGCCCTGTGCCACATTTGTATTCCTCTCTGCAAAGTGTTCATTTCCTCTGTATTTTCCTCCTAGAGTTTTTTACTTCATACTCCTAATTCATCAGTGCCATCCATGTCAGGGATTTATGAATGGCAGTTATAGCCAAACTCCAATCTGTGTGGCCTTGAAACAAATGGTGTTGTGAGGGTTTCTCATTTTCTTTGGTGTAGATATTGAAAAAGATTCAGCACTGTGGAAAGAAGCAAACCTGTCAAGAAACCTTAGTAGCGCACAGAGTGCTTTAGTTATAGCCAACCACGGAGAAAACCCTTAATCATCACGAGGTCTTAGCATAAGACTGCAAATGTCCAGACAAATTGGGAAAACCATTGCATTCTAGCTCCAAGGAAACAAATCACCCTCTTTGGTGAGCACCCAGGGACTGCTCTGCAGCATCTCACTGTTAGCCCTCAGATGTGCAGAGGCCAGCCGGGAAGGCCCCAGATGCTGGCCCTTCCAGAAAGCAGATGTGTCACAACAAGCAGTTCACCACTTCATCCTCTTATGCCTAGCAACCCAGGCGAAGGGGAAAGGATTATTAGCATCCAAAGACTAGTTCTGCCATATAGAAGAGCCAAATTGGAAGAGCCCACAGCATTCCTTCTAGACTAGTCGTCCAAATGAGGGCAGATAGTGTAGCAAGTTCAACTGTAAAAAGTAGTTTAGCTGAAGAAAGTCTCCAGCCTTCTCTGTATGCTTTGAGTTAAATTCTTGACAGTTTGGAGGATTTATATAGATTTGATTTTTCCTAATAGTTTATGTTTTAGCTTAAGTAAATATAATTATCCTATCTCTTTCATTATCTTATCCATTGAGAATCCCACAAGCTGGAGGCATTTGGAAACATTTGAACTGCAGCATATTAATTTTTTGCTAGTGGAAACCATGATTGGGGAAAAAATATTACGACATCTGTGATTTCTAATCTTTTAGGAATACCAACACTTTATTCCTAGCTTAACTTTTGTTTTGAAATAAGCATACTTTTTTTTAACCTCCTCAAAGTACTTTGCAGTATACATCACAATTTTTTTTTACATAAAGTAAATTTAATTTTTTTTTTCTTTTTGTGAGGAAGATCAGCCCTGAGCTAACATCGATTGCCAATCCTCCTCCTTTGTTTTCCCCAAAGCCCCAGTAGATAGTTGTACGTCATAGTTGCACATCCTTCTAGTTGCTGTATGTGGGACGCCCCCTCAGCATGGCCTGACAAGTGGTGTGTCGGTGCGCATGGGAGATCTGAACCCCAGGCCGCCAGTAGCGGAGTGCATGCACTTAACCGCTAAGCCGTGGGGCCGGCCCCTAAATTTAATTTTTTATGTTTTAAAATTTTCATTTCAGCAAGGTAGAAGAGTGTCAGAGTTGAATCCAGTCCCAGCCGTGGTTTGCCTGGCTCCTTGACTGTGAGCGCTTCACTCGGCCTCTCCTGGCTTTAATTTCTTTATGTATCAGATTGACCTGAGGATGTGTTGCTCTTAAGTTGTAGTGAAAAAACAATCAAATGAGATAATATATGTGAGGGCCTTTGAAAAGTTAAAAAAAGAGGATCCTTGAAAAGTTAGAAACCGTTACAAGCTGTATTTACACTTATTTAGTTATCTTTTAAACACATGTGTTCTGGAATTTATCATTTCATGATATCTCAGAATTTATTTCCAAATGTCTCTGGCCATGTAGTATAAAAATATAACTTATCCAAACTAACAAGTTGTTTGACACTTTTGATTCACCAGTCTTTAGATGAGTTTGGGATATATGTTTAATTTCATGTTTTAAATTTCAATGATTTAAATCTCAATGATTACTAGCACTCAGTGAAATGTTAGTAAAAGACACAAATAATGGAGAATTTACTAATAATATACAAGGAAGATGAGAAAGACTGGACATAAACATTTGGAAAAGGGCAGGTTAATCACCTGTACCCTTTCCATAAAATATTTTTAAGTCTGTGTGTTAGGTCTTCACACAGATTTACAGAATACAGAATTAGTGACTTTTTTCTTAATCTAATTTTAAGAACATATTCATAAAATTAATAATAGAAAATTTTATATTAGCCATTTAGCATTCTGTCCTAAGATTTAGTTAGCTATTCGAAGTGGTTATTTCTTTATGTGACCTAAAATCCACCTAAAAGATATACTGTTGCCTTGAAAAAAGTTATCTACTTCAGAGTAAGAAGTTGCCAAACTGATAATCCCACGAGTATCAACTGAGAGAGTGGGGGAATAGTAACGATTTGATGTTGTGCCCAGGTTTCTCTACTCTCCCTGATCCATCTTCTACGGTTCTTTCCCTCTCCTTCTGACCTTTTCAACCTGTCTTCCTCTTTGCCTCTAGGGAGAAGTCTCCAGTGGAGGACAGTCATTGAAAAGCTACACGGAAGAAGTGAGTCTTAAGGTAGCCTTGTAACAAAGTCTGAAATCAGTCTGTCATATAGGATGGAGCTCTCATTGGGCTTTCTCCATCTGCCTTTAGGATTCCTGGCCTATCCCATTCACTGGTCATGCCCGCAAAAACAAGATAATAAATAATATGTCATCAAAATGATTTTTGTTCCTCACTGGTAGAGAGATACTCTATAATAACTCACTCATCCTGAGAATGAAGGTAAAACTGCATAAACCTAGAGTTCTCATATATTTTCACTCACAAACATTTGTTGATATCCTAATAAATGGGAAACACATGTTTTATATTGGCCATGCACAAAGTAATAAGGCATGATCATTGCTCTCATGGAAAGAACAATCTATACCAAATTGGCATTCATTCATGTGGCAAATGCTCATCAAGGACATTATTTGTGCAAGCCATTAAGCAAAGTACTATCTTGACAATTAAAATGAATGGTAGATTTTTGTTGAAAAATCGTTTAGACTTCTGGATTTATTTTGGAGATATCCAAGGGTGTGCTGTGTCACAGGATGTGTCTTTGGGCTGTCTGCAAATGGTATTTGGCAACTTTCAGATAAACCAGTGGATAGAATCCATAAAACTTGACCTGAAGCCAAACCACAGTGGTCACTAAATTAGCCATCTGAATCTGTTGCAGGTGAAGGGAACTGGGAAACAGTTTGGTGATGATATCATAGAAGAACTAAATATTTAGTTTGAATATTGCTTCTCAGCAAGACAGAATCCGTTTCTCCAAATATTTTATTCTTGCCTGCATGAATCCATTCAAAACCCATTTTGAGGGGCCTACTGAATGTGCTATGTAGTCCATACATTTATTCAGAACAGCGTACCCATACTTCAACCCACACTCGCTTCCAAGTATCACCTGGACAGAAAAATCAGAGTGTATAGCACCCATTAAGTCACTAATATCTCTGGTTTGTGCCCTTTTGGGGGGGTGGTTGAAGTTTTGCCAAAGGCACATGGAGAAGGAATAACAAAAGGAAGGAAAAGACATAACTGGGTAGATTTTCTGAGTTCAGGTTAGAAAAATCAAAATATATGGGGCAAAATATTGGCAGGCTGGAGCACCACCTTTAAATTTCAATTTAATGAATTTGATGCAGAAATTGAGTAGAATACATTAAAGCAATTAATGTTGCCAAGGAGAGGCAGACACTTTTCAATGTGCACACCAATAGAATTTCCCTTTAGGATTCTGTGTTTGCTCAAGGTTTTGGCTCAGCATTCTCCACTTGGTGGTAGGACTGGGGGTGATGGGCCACCTCCACAAGAAGGGTGCCTGATGCCCCTTGTCATGTGTCCTATTGAGGTCTAGCACCGTGAAGGAAGGGGAGCACTGAGGTGCTGGTACAGGAAATGGGCTGCATACAGATGATAGAACTTTTTTTTTTTTGTGAGGAAGATCAGCCCTGAGCTAACATCTGCCAATCCTCCTCTTTTTGCTGAGGAGGACTGGCCCTGGGCTAACATTCATGCCCATCTTCCTCCACTTTATATGGGACTTTGCCACAGCATGGCTCGTCAAGTGGTGCGATGGTGCACCCCCGGGGATCCGAACCGGTGAACCCCAGGCCGCCGCAGTGGAGCGCGCGCACTTAACCACTTGCCCCACCGGGCCAGCCCCAGATGATAGAACTTTTAAAATGTCTTATTCTAATTTTGTAGTTCTTATCCAAGAAAAAGATCTTTATTTTCTCCGTCATGAATGTGCAATCTACATGTATGTGTTTTATGCAGTTGTAAATTCTTAATGTAATGAGAAGGTTGAGAATATGTGCCTTTTCATTGGAGGTGCTGGCAGGACATGGCTCCTTAGTGTTGTCCTCTGACTAGCAACTTCCGGCATCACCTGGGGGCTTGTAAGAAAGGCAAAATCACACCATATCCAAAAATCAAAATCTCCATTCTAACAAGATCCTGATGTGATTCATAAATACCCTGACATTTGAGAAGCAATGTCCTGACACGTTCTTTTCAATGTTATTTCTAGAGAATAACTGGGTACATCATGGAAAATCCCCAATTGTGTATAATATAGGTAAAGAGAAAACCTTTATTAATAAATTTATGAGGTTTTTTTTTATTCATTTACTCTCAAGAATAATATTTTTGGTTGATTGGGCGTATAAAATCTCTCTAGCTTATAGGATTCATTACTGACTTGCAGTTTGAATTTACAAGTATGTGCAAACTACATATAAGCCTTGCCATTTTTTAGGGGTTCAGTATCACATAGTGTTTTTATTTAACATTGCTGATATTTAGATTTTAGCTTTTTTAAAACAAACAAATGATCATCCATTATAGTAAAACTATAAGTATGATCTTGATTAGTGGACCATTATCTTTTTAACAGATGGTTTCTTTCTGCAGACAATAATCCATTTGGTCCTTAGGAAATATATATTCGAATTCTTCTCCATTGAGAACATGTTAAGAATGTGTGCCATAAAATGATGTTTTTTGTTTTTTCTCACTTGTGCTTTTATTTCACTTTTGCCCTCTTTCTTTATGTTAGGAGAATCAGCAAACAATAAAGAACAGTATTTATAAATGTTAGAAACATTGAAGTTAAAACTGAGCTAGCAAACATTTGCTTTTATTTACTGCACACTAAAACTCAAATAAACCAGAGTGTTTACATTTTTAATATATTTAACATTTCTTGCTAAAGTTTGAACAACTCTCTGCAGATCAAAGTCTCTGTTTTTTTTTTATTTAGTCTTATAATTAGACAGAGTCAGAACCACATGACATTAGACAATTCTGTTTAGACCTAAAACAAAACTAAAGAGAGGACATGGTCTCCTCTACAAGTAAAGTTAAAATACTACATTTTCTATTTTTTAATCTATTATTTTTCCAGAATAGGATTTGTGTTTTTGACTTAAAAAAACAAGATATATTTTAATAGTCTACTTTTCCTAATCCTCAAAATGGTTCTGACAGTTAGATTTTAAAAAATTACATATTTGTTACATATAAGGCATTGATGAGTCAGGTAAGAATAATCATAATTTCACATTGCAGAAATTTTAGCTTTTAGAATCATAATATTAACATTCATTTAAAATACATATAAAATTTAAAACAACTATCAAAATCAAATACACTCAAAGTTGGATTGTCATGCCTTTTACAGAGAAGTTAATCCAATTAAAATAGCGCATTTCCCAGATGAATAATTGAGAAGCAGCATACTGTACTGGTTAAAAATCCCCTAATCTTTAGAGAAATTTGTTAATTTAAATATGTATTCGTCAGATAAGTATTGTCAACTTAAATGGTTGAGAAAAACTATAAAGAACTAAAGACTGAAGTTAATGGTTTTTAAAACATTTAAAAAACAGTTTAGAGCAGTTCCTCAGAACTCCAGGAAGTTAGCTGGTGAAGGCTGGAGGCAACATCCAGAGGAGTGTGAACTAGCGCGAGGTGTCGAGTGGCAGCTTCACAGTCTTTCAGCGTGTCAGACAGGAGGAGAAGCCTGTGCAGTAGGCAGGCCTTTTTCAAATCTGTCAAGCTGGGTTTTGCCAGCTGTGCCATCTGAACTGGAAAGGGGATCAGTTCTATGCTACAAAATATCTTAGAATCACTTCTCATGCCAATTTTGACCTGTCTTATTTCTCCTGTGTTGTATTCTGTGATCACTAGTGTCATGAAGTTCTGACTACACTTCTGATGGAAATGCATGACATCATTTCCTTATAATAAGTAAGATATAATTTACTTTTTATCAGAGGGATTTACTTTTTAAAAATTGAAATAACTCTTATTTAGTATCATAGTTTTATTACACTTAAGAAACTAGGGAACAAGGATTATCTTCAAGAAAACCCTAATTTGTCTTTGACATTCGTTAAGAATTAACATTTGTTGTTAAAGGATAATAATTTTTTTAAGTTATAATTATGACTTCATACAGATATAAAATGGACACGTGAAAGTTTTTTTTGACTCATTAATTAATTCTCCAGTGAAAAGGAGAATTCAAGTCCTCACATATATAGTCAATTAAGAAATACTGAAATGAAGTTATAAATACTGTAGATGCAAAAACTGGCAAGACTGATCAATATCCATAGGGTAAAAATCAGTTGCATTCAAATGGATGCAATTTATGGACGAGAATTATTTACACTACTATCAATTTCTATGAATTACGTGGTTGTAAAATAGCTCAAAGTCAATGAAAGACCCAGATCTTCCATAGAATCAGATAACTGGAAGGATATGCTAGAAAAATGACTTGTTTTTCATTGACCATACCCAATAATCTTTCATCCATTTCAAAGTCTTTTACAATTTTATCCTACAATTTCATTGGAGAGAAAAGCTAGCAAATGGAATGAATTAAGAAATAAAATGGAGTGCAATCTCAATGCATAGTGAAGTGTAGCCAATTTCTGAGATAAATTTATTTTAGCAGCTTGCATTTATGTTGTAATTCTTTTCACAATCTACCATATTTTTCTAATTTTTGATTATTACTCCTTCTCTTTTCTTTTCCCTAATCCTATTAGTTCAAACTTATAGCTTCACAAACTTATTACTTCCCTCTGCCTATGTTTTAATTGCCCTTTTACAATTCTCAAAAGAAATGGGCTATAGAAGTATAACTTACCAAAAAATTATGAATTTCAGCCTGATAATACAAGACATTTCATTAACAAATACAAAAAGAAAGGTATTTTCAAACTTTATTAATTTAAGTATATAAATTATACAAAGAGAATTTCATTTTTAAAGGAAGTATAGGCTTAATTCTTTGTCATTCAAAGCAGTCTATTAAATATATTTAGAGTGAAGTATAATTTTGTCTTGCTTTATATGTCTTGGGGAAGAGGGAGAATCCCCCTCTGCCCTTTCCCTTAAGGTTCTTATGGCTGGCCAAATAATTAAAAGACAGGTTAGCAGGAGAAAATAATACCAAGTTTAATAACATGTATACATGGGAGAAACCAGGG